TAATAGTGATTATTTATTCCTCTCCATACTACACTGTGTTTGACTTGATAATCAAATGAAGCTAAACAATATCGTTGTTTGAGACAAAAAAACTATTGCTTGCCAAGATTATTCAAAAACAAGTTATCCATCCCGAGAATAACGAATGAAATACAGATCAAGCAAGTATTTGAATCTTGAAGACTTCCCTGATCAAAACGAAAATACTTAACTGAGATGTTTATAGTTCCAATACTAAACTATAGTAAGGTGCATTTATATCTTCAGCATGGGTATGAAATGCCAAATCTGCTGAAATCGGAAACAAATCAGGTATACGTCTCAACCCAAATAACCAGCCGTCACAATGTTGTTTATTCTTGAAGACGTCTAGTATATCATTTTTAGTTCCTAGGAGCTAAAGTTCAACTTTAGCTCCTAGGAACTAAAATTCAACTTTAGCTCCTAGGAACTAAATATGTTGCCTAGCAACATACCTATTTTTGTGTCAGTAATAGAAACGTCAATTTAAGAGCTAATTTTCGTATCAAAATGGACGACTTTTGTGTCGGTTGCAGAAAAATAAGTTTATGAATTTTTCTTGTGTCGTCATCACCCATCAGTAGTCACCCATTTCACCATTTCACCTTGATGGTACTCGAATTTCTCAAATTCTCAAACACCAGTTCGTTATTTATTCGGCAGAAATGTGACAGCAATGTAATTCGTTCGGAGGCATCTTCTTGTATTGGTATTTACAGGTACCCCAAAAATACTAGCGTATATATTTTTGCTTGTATCCGACCACTTATATCCTCCATTTTAAATCAGTCATGCGAACCGTTTTGCCTACAAATCTGGCGCCCATCTTGGAATTTCATTGATTACTTCCAAGTTATGCCCAAACGAAAAAGACGAGAAAAAAATTAACACAGAAAACGCTGCTCATTTGTTCCCATTCAAACTGCATAATATGATTTGCAATCTTGAGCACGCAAGTCCTGAGATGTAAGACAGACACCCGTGGACTGCCACTGTTGTCCTACATGACACATATACGAATATATGGAATATATGCGTACGCGGTACGTTATATAAGGCACGCGAATTGACAATAACAATAATTAACTAATTGCTGGATTTGCATAAAGCTATAAACAGTCTGGCAATGAGGTTTTATTAATTGCGATCGGCTGCTCACATATTTTTGCCTTCTTTATGGCCGCGTAGGTTGCTCTTCGGTATGTCATTCTGAATAAAAAAAACTTCATAAAACTCAACATAATCTCTATAAGAATAAGTCGACGAAGGTATATGGCCCCGGATTGAGTCCTTGGGGCACCTCCTATGTTTTTAATATGAAAAAGTGTTGAAATGGTGAACAATTCTTTCTGTAGAAGCTTCGGGTCAAATCAAATATATATACAGCGAAATTCTGAAACTGTATGGACACTAGAAAATTCAAGAATGTACTGCAGAATGAATTATACAGGGTGCTTCAAAAAAACCTGACCCCCTTGATAGGGTAGGTAGACCACTACAAAATGAGTTGGGTTTGTTCAGTCAAAAAATGTCGTAACGTCATCCGTTTTCAAGATACAAGGTGTTAAAAAAATGATTTTTTTACACATTTTTCACGATTACGTCGAAGCTAATGGCAACATTGTGATGAAATTTTGTATGGATGTTTTTTGGAACGTGACACATCGCATGCATTTGCTTTCATATCTGACTCTCATAGAGGGCGCTAGTTACACGGTTCGTACCGATTAGTTTTAAACATAACATTTTTGAGGTTAGATTCTTCAACCCAAATTCGATGTGAACTCAAACATCATTCTATTTCACACTTAAAAGATAATCTTGGTAGAACTCGATACTGTGTTCCGTTATCGGAATATTTCGATTTGAAAATGATTGAGTAATCTGATGCTCGTATAAAATGAATTTAATTGAGATCAATTACTTGTTTATTCAGATTCAAAAACAATAACAGCATTCTTGTGCTGTGGCTATTGATTGAACAAAGAATCAAAAGTAGAAAATTGAGAAATATTTGTCTAGAAACATAAAATATTGAATCAGTTAGAGTAAGTGTTCAAAATGTCCTCCATTTTCACGAATACACGATTCGATTTTTTTTTTCATGAAAGCATTATTTTCCTAAACGGTTGAGGATCAGCTGTAATAAGGTCATCTAAGTAATGTTCAATTCTGACTTGCAACTCCAGACGTGAATTTACCTCTGTAGCATACACTTTTTGCTTGATACAACGAAACTGTGTAATCCATGTTTTTAGTTAAATTTGTTTCAATGTTATTCTTGTGAATCATTGTTAAATCGATAAGTTCAGAATTAGAAATGTATTGTTTTTTCCGTTTGCAATAAATAGGTGATGATTCTTTATAATACTCACTCTAATACATAGCTTTTTACCAGCAACAGTTATCATACTTCATCATTTTCAGATCAGAATATTTCGACAACGGAACACAGTATCCAGTTTCACCAATAGTACCTTTTTGGTGTGAAATTGAATGATGTTCAAGTTCACATCAAATTCGGATTGAAAAATCTAACCACAAAATAGTTATGTTTAAAACTACTAGGTACGAACCGTGTAACTAGCGCCATCTATGAGAGTCAGATAGAAAAACAAATTCATGCCATGTGTCAGATTTCAAAAAAGAATCCATACGAAATTTCATTACAATGCTGCCAGTAGTTTCGACATAATCGTAAAAAACTTATTCTGCAGTGTTCCATCTACCCTAGCAAGAGGGTCAGGTTTTTTTTAAACACCCTGTATAATGTTATGAATAGATTAATGTTAATTATCAGTAGCATTTGTATAGGTAACTACTCCGATCATTAACAAAGTGCGTCAGCCCACGCATCAATTTTTCAATGGTGTGTTCCGTGTAGTTATTGTTACTAACCCCGTCCGCCATCTCGGGAGTATCGTTAATCAGTCTGAGATGCATGGCAACAGTGAATCGTGTACGACTTTATTTATATTTTGATGAAATATAAATCGCGCTATCGAACTACCATTGATTCCAAGTTCTCTTTTAATTAAACTTTCTCAAGACATATTATAAATATAATGATTCGAACAACTCGCCTCGCGTAATGAGTGATAGCTTCCATTCGGATAATAGTATCTAATCTAATATAAAAACACGAGTTGAGTACTTGAGAAAGCTATTTTTCTTCCAAGAATGGCACCGCTGAGCAGATAAACTTTTGATTTATGAAAGTATGGAGAGAATAATGGATCGCTATTTCCCATCATGAATCGTCAACATTTTAAACTAACTTCCGGTTTGTTTAGGAAAAATATCTAATTTCGCGTGACGTCTGCAGATTCATATTATAATTAATGGTGTATCGCCAACCTAAGACTGCAAACGTTGAAATCAAATTCGGCCTCATCCTTACACAATAGCACAGTAAAATTTTGCTCAACATTGAAAATGAACACTGATAATTAAAAATATTGAAGCCCCCCTGTTAAATCATGAAGGACTCAAGAAATAACGCAAAGGATGACAATCTCTACCAGAAGTACTCTGATATTCAGATCGAGATTATTTTTCAGATCAAAATAAGACTTTTTTTCTCTAACAAGTGTCCACTGATTGATCTGCAGGGCATTTAAGATTTTTTTTTAAATGGACCCACTCCGCCCCAAGTCTTCGGCCACAATGAAAGAAATGCTGAATATCTCAAAAACTGAAACAGCTATACATGAATAAAAACTTGAAAGATCTCAAAATATTAACCCTCTGTATATCAGTTGAGAATCGTTCGCGGACACAGATCCAGTGGGAAAAAAGTATCACCACGACCTGAAAAATACGGATTTCAGAACTTTCTGTGTATGTGTGTCAAGTTGAAACAAATCGATATTATCATATCTTGTCCTAATTTGTGATGTTCATTCATCTTTCTAACGAGTCCATGAACGAAACTGATGCTTTGAGAATTGTTACCTCAACAGATGTTTGCTATTCAAGATAGTGAGGCTTATTCTGGTGACCTTAAGTTTTTTCTCAATACTGAGGATATCCAATGTGAGATATGCAATGATTGGTTATTGCCAGATTTCAAAATTGACCAAATGTCACATTCTGGTACCATTCTTGAAGAATGCACTTCTCAATATCACGAAAGAGTCAGTAGTCATTTGATATATTTTTTGAATAATTTCCCTGCAGAATTCACACACTGAATGGCATTTTCTTTGAATTGTGTTTCCAGTTACAAAGAGCTGCAAAGAGTAATGATTTCTTCGTTGATTCAACTTCCTAACATAAGATCGAAATCATTGTGCCAGGTCTATAAGCAGGGATTCCTTTCGTTATCATAATAGTACATTCACACAACATTCACAGAACTTCGTCACTTTCGTCGAGTTAAGGGTTCCTGAAAACAAAGCAAGGACTGCATGATGTATCAAAAAGTATTATTATGTGTTCATTGGACATTTTAGCACTTCAGCGTAATATACCGATCAACGCTTCAGGCACATTCATGATCACTATGATGAGTGTGTAAAACTGAAGAGATATCAATGAATTGCATATCGAACTGTCCGATTAAACTCTGAAGAGGAGAGTCACATTCTCATGGAGATTGTGTGATACATTTGGTTAGATTTGACTGTACTATAAAATAATTCCTACCGGGGAAAGGGGGTAGCATGAAGCAAGCAGCTTTCGAAGGATGACTCGCGATTGTTTGAATAGGACCGTCCGCAACCGCAGCTGATAAGACTGTGATAATTAATCTTAATATTGCATTCTTCAATTATTGTTCCTCCATCTGTATTAACGTTTTAGCTGTTTGATTTCTACTTCCGATAATACCAAACCAGAGACTTATCTCTTATCTGGATTAATTTATGATATTAAAACTGGAAAATACTAACACAAGTATAAGTAGATATACGATATAATTATGAGATTTCTTATTCAGAAGTTGATGGATATTTTTGATAAAGAATGCTCTGACTTACCTCTCCAAATGTTTGACGATGTCTTCGTACGCTGCCCTGCAGTTCTCCCAAATTCCAGACCTGGAAATAAATACACCATTATGAAAATTCCTGGTGTGCTGTCTCGATGTTTGTTTATAGGATTACTCCGGTAACTATGCTTTTTTTACTCAAAAAACCTTACCGGCCGTGACAAAAATTTGCTATCTTGTTTTGTTTTCGAGTCATAAACAACAGTTCGATTTTCTCAAACACGTCATCAGTATCATAGTTGTTGTTGTGAAGTTTTGAGAAAATAACTTTCTTTTATGCAATCTTGAGCTATGTGGTAAAGAGTTGCAACTTCTCAACTGGGACATGTAGTTGACTGTAGCATATACTTTAAACGTATTTTTTCTGTCTCATTCTCTCCATGGATCATAGTGATCAGAATAAATGTATGATGTCAAATCCAGAATTATTTCAAAAGAGGGTTGATTGTGTTCTGTTCCTAGTACTAGAAAATATTGCTGAGGCTCAAAATTTGCTTGTCTTATGAGATTTCCGTCACTATACAGGGTGAGTCAAAAATGTGTACCGAGCTTTCTGGGGGTAATAGAACATTGAAAAATAAGTGTAGTTTGATGATTAAACTCATGGCCCAAAATGCATATTAAGGGAGATATATCCTTCCAAAGTTGATAAAATTAAAATAATTTCTCCGCATAACTTCTGAACGATGAAAGCCACCCGATTGAAATTTTGTGCATGAATGTATGTTGTCAAAATACATTTTTTCGTCACACTTTCACATTTCTGATATTGTTATAAAGGGTGTTCTCAGAAGGTGAGTCATGATTTTTTGTAGAAAACTTTTTTCCCTGTATTATTTTCGGTGAAAAGGTACTCCTATTCAAATACAAAAAATTAAGCCGTTCGTGATATATTTGAGTTTTTGTAGTTACATGATATCAGCAGATTGATTTTATTCATCGCGAGATTCATCGGTATAACGTTATTTCGTCAGGCCATGAACAATTTTGTTTTTAATTTTGTCGATAATATCACCTCCCTGTGCCACGTTACTGAGCAATAAGTACATAGCATAAGTCTGTCGTCCCAACAAGGTTTGGATAAAAATAAAAGTTTGATAATGTTTTTGGTACTTTTAATCAATACATAATTTTGAATGGAAGAAAAAGGAAATAAACAAATTGAAGTAGCTGTTCGAAATGTCCACCGTTTTCGGTTACACATAATCTGAGGCGTTTACGTAAATTATTCATCAAACCGTTCATAGTTTGGTGATCATTTTTCAACAACGTAAATTCGTTCACAATTTTTTGCCTCAGCTCCTCAACATTCCGAATTTCGCTTGAATAAACCCTAGATTTCATGTAACCCCAGATCAAAAAATTCTAGTGGATTGAGGTCAGGCGAACGAGCGGGCCAGGAAATAGGAGCGTCTATGCCTCGTCCTATCCACCTATCAGGAAAATTATCATTAAGCCATTCACCCCCAGGAAGCTCGGTATACATTTTTGACTCACCCTGTATATATATTTAAATATATTTCTTCTTGTTCCCGAAAATTGTGAAGAAAATTATTCTCTGTTCGAAAATGTGGATGGCATTGGGAATATACAAAGAAGCCATCCACCTCCAATCCACAAAATGCCAGTAATTGCCTCAATGTCTAGGAGGGCATTAAATATGGCTTCATAAATATCCGTTTCGAATTAACAATGAAGCTAGTATTTATTATTAGCATAACCAGTAGCATCTGCTCATTCATATAAATGAAAACATAAGAATTAAAGTGGTCACGCAAATTCTTCAACAATTTTCCATTCTTTGACTTCAGTACCACCCATTATCGGCATCCATGTTTTAAATAACATTTCATGAAGTTGAAAACATAGGCGTGTACAAAAATAGAATTAATTTGATGAATATTCCATAAAGTATCTGATGATAGCATCATGAAGTTTGTTCATCAGAGGTCAAAAAATAATCTATTGTTGGAAGAATCTGGACCAATCGAAGGAATCGAAATTCTCATTTATGTTTCATGTTGGTCTATTGAAGAAAACTAGGTCTACTGATCGACTTAGGATCATCATTTCGTTGGAGTCTTCTAATACAAACTTTGATTATGAAGGAAGCTTTGAGACGTACATAGAGTAAGTCTTCGAGACGTACATAATATAGAACACACAGTAGATATATCTCGGAAACGTTGGTTGTTCGTCATATAGAGGAGTAATGACGTCTGAAAACTTCTTTGGTACTTCCGTGAGCGTCTTTGAAGATGATGATATCAACAAAACATAAATAATGAAAATATTGACTACATGATAAATTGGCCCATTTATCACTACTCACACGTCTATTCACATACATAAAATAAACATATTCAAGTCAAGTCAAGCAGAGATGTCTATAAAAATATGTTTACATCACCTTTGAGACGTCTATCAAAATACGTTCCAAGAGTCAATATATGATTATATGGCTGTAAATGTAGAGTGAATTGGGTGAATATGCACAGAAAAAAAATTGTTTCAAACAAAGACAAATTTGTAGATTCTCCAAAATCAGTGTCCTATCCACGACGAACTATTTTGTCAGATTTCAACATAAAATTCATTTGATGTAACTCATTATTGATTCAAATCAACAGCAAGAGTTGGTTAAATTAACAAAGACTATTTTGTTCCCATACTACAATATCTGCTTTAATGAACACATTCTGTTGATAAAATGATTATGAACTTTCATCGAAGTGACAAAATATTCAGTTTTTCAGAAAGTTAATATGTTAAAATAACTATATAATATATTCTGAATATAACGAAATCTCCATTCATTCGATCAACAAAATTGTATTCAGAATTGACAAAATATTTTGTTGAATATAATATTGATAAAATTTTCCAATTATACTGAATTTCAAAACTAAGAGAAATTAGAGATTCATTTTCTAAGTTGATTGAAGACTAATAGCTTTCAAGCGTCATATTAGACGTTCTAGGACAGCTTAAAACATATAAATATCTATATATATGTAAAAGATAAGGTGACATATTGTGTCAAATTGCATACGTGGACATATGAGACACTAACATTTGTACAACTAAAATCAACTGTTCATTTTTGTGAATTTAAATTTAAAAATTTGGCTAAAAAAAATTCCAAGTCATATTTTTCACATTTTTCAAATTCTTCGAATTCTTTCAGGTCAGGAATGTCTGTTTCTTCTTTTTCACAAAATAGAGGATTTGGTGTATGTCAATTGACAGGTGTGCGAATTTGGTGTATGTCAATTGACAGGGGTGCATGTTATTGTGGTTTGAAAGTATCATAGTATTCAGCCAGTTTATGAAAAGGAAGAAGAAGAAGAGATTGTTTCTATGTCCATAAGTAAAATGTACGATAAGGTTGAGAATTTGTTGAGAAACGTCAATATTGAGAAACTGTAAAACTCGACAAGAATTGAAGAATGGAACTATTTTGATTATGTAATGATCTGCATTATCAATTGAAAGTAGGTAAGGATAGATTTCACTCAATTGGGATATGTGGGCCATTTCCATGAAAGTTCTTCAAGTTCTGTTCTGCCAACGCACATCTTTCCGGATGCACTTTTGTGAGAGGAAATCCTATTTGCTAAGGACCTTTTGGATTGACCAATATATTGTTTGTCACAATCCTGACATGGAATGGAGTAGACTTCATTCGTTTGTGAGGAATACTGATATATCTTAAAGTTTTGGGTTAATGGTTCTAATTGGTAAGATGGTTTTGTTTGCTGTCTTGATATAAGGTAAGTTGTTAAAGATTCTAGTTAATTTGGGTGTGATTTCTTTTATATAAGTTAGGGAGGCAAAAATATAATTAATTGGAGGGGCATCAGCCACCATGACACTATTCTGTAACAATTCATTGTCAGTATATATGTACAATTTCTGCTGCAGAGGTATTGAATGAAATTTTTTTTACCACGGAACTGGGATATGCATTTTGTATGATGAAGATGTAGGATTTTCAAATTCTTGTGATGAATGGAGGTATCAGAGATTTGGATAACTCGTTGTTTCATTTGCTTTATCAAATTTACCTTCATGTCATGTTTGTGGTATGAAGCATAATTTAGATAACGTCCAGAGCTGCACGGCTTCCTATACCAATCTATGAGCACTGTGTTGTCTGGCTGTCTTATGAACAGTGTGTCCAAAAAAGGTATACAGCTTTTTGGTTACTCTCAGTTTCTATAGTAAATTGGATGTAGGGATCATAGCCATTAAAAGTTTCCAGAATCTTATTAATACCCTTCCACATGATGGAAATACATCTGTCTGGCTATCTTATGAACAGTGTCTCCAAAAAAAGTACAGCATTTTGGTTTCTCTTAGTTTCTATAGTGAATTGGATATAGGGATCATAGCTATTGAAGGTTTCCAGAATCTCATTAATACCCTTCCACAAGATGGTAATAAATCTTTAATGTCTTTGAGACGTCTATTTGCTGATCAGGACGCTACTGCCGCTGGACTGGTATGGCATACGCAGAGTCCATAAGAAGTCTACTTGTTTACACGCTTGTTCAAGTCGTCATTATCATTTCAGCGCTCGTCTGCAATTAAAATGCAAATCCGGACCGTCGAATGCGTGTACACGAATAAGCGCCATGATTAATTCTCCAGGTAGACCGTCGACTGTCTAGCTTAGCTACGATCCTTCGGCAATTGTTCGACATCGAACGGCGGTCGAAAACGAATATCAATTTGTCCGAGTGTAGATTTTTTTCCACCTGTTGTCCATTCTCTGCTGGGGCTGATTGATGTGGACCACTTTCGTTTTGAAAAAGTGTGGGAAATTTCTGTTCGTATCTCGATATTCAAACGAAACCAGGGACATGCGTTTTCATGGAACTCTTTTCATTACCACGCTTTCATTAGTATGTGGAATCTTCGAACGAGATTTTGACACACTTCAAAATATCGAATTGAATTGAAACTATCAAGGCAATTATGTGTACCTGAATAACAGAAAAATCTGAAAGCACAATATATGAATATAATATCATTTCTTTTGCGGTA